GACGCCGACGATCGCGCCCCCGCCGTCGAAGATCGTGCTTGATCAGCGTGCGGCGCTTGCACAAGGCTTCACTCCAAAGGAACTCGTCGTTACATGCTCTCCTACTGCTTTCTTAGCTTTCCTACTCCTCAGCCCTTCGTTCAAGTACTAACCATTTTGCTATCCGACGCATGTATTCTTTCATAGACAATGATACTACTTACTACTCATTCACCTCCCGCTCCCTCCCTTCCCAATAAGGGTGTCCATGTCGATCTGCGGCGCGACGTTGGCCTCCTTCTCGCGCTTGCGCTTCAGCTTTGCGTAGTCTACCTCCCCGTCAGCATCTACCACAGCGGGAAAAACAAGAAGGGCAACGCACGCAAGCCACACGCATTGCACAGCACGCGCCATCGGGGCCGCGGCGCCACTCGGGCGCCTCGCGGATGTTGCACGAGTGGCACTTTCCCGTTTCCCTCTCCCCTCATACTTATTTCACTTATAATACTTACACCACGGACAACACCCACAACGCAGACCGGACCATCTATCATCGCGCACCACACACAACCACGCGCACCCTCCCGATCACATTTTACCATTTCAGTTTTACTTCCGCTCGTACACACCATTTAGACAGTAAACCCATGTCTCTGATGAGTTATGAATGAAATAAATAAAAGTGTTATAATTGTCCAGAGTCGAGCGGTAGAGAATCGTACGCTGCAGATGAGTTTCGTAGGGGCCGAAACAAAAAGAATCGGCCACCATTTCGGCAACTCCGAAATGGTGGCCGATTCTTTTTGTTTCGATGATGCCGAATCGGTTGCCGAAGCTATTGTCTTCGGTGACCGTTTCGGAGCGACCTAAACAATAAATTTACGGGGTGCTGAAATGGTTGCTGAAACCTATCGTTTCAGCAGCAGCTTAAGGTGTGCTGAAATTTCCCGTTTCAGCTTCAAATTCTGCGCCACTCAAAACATACCCGAATCGGATAGTTTCGGCATCAGCGTAAGGCGCGCGGGAATCATCCATTTCAGGTACATTTTCAGGTCAACTTATTCTGGTATTTAAACTAAAGGTTTCAGATACGTTTTGAGATCCGCTGAAGCCATATTTTTTGCCGTGTGAATTGACGCACTTTTCGTCGCACCCGGTGATCCTAAATCCCCCGATGAAGCGTAGACTTGGCCCAGGCTTCAACTATTTGTCAAGTCGGACTCACATTGACGTCCCACTCCCGCAGCCGCAAAACGCGAACCCGCAACACGGAAAACACCGAAGCGCGGATAAAATAATTGCAAAATAATCTGGATGGATGCATTGAGCTGTTCCAAGCAAGGTATCTGCCGACAGAGTCGGCGCTCCCTAGTAAGTAACGATGGACGGTACTAGTGACCTTCGATTGGAACCTGAAGATGACGGAACAGAGAACCGGATTACATAATGCAACGGCCAGAGATGAAAAAATTCTGTGGGTCACTGACAACGGTCCAAGCCCGAATCGAACGGGCGTCGCCTGCATGAGGAAGCTGTCATTTGACACGAAGCAGGTACGGGCCACTCCGCAATTGGACCTTAGGAGTGCTGAATATAGGCTGGCTAGATGGATAACTTTCAAGATAGACGCACTCCTTGGATGAGTCATCCGCGGGGAATATTCACATATGTTAACTTCATGGTCGGATGGACGTTGGTGGATATGACAGCAGAAATCGGAGTACTTCGGGCTCAGAGGCCCCTGTAAACTCGGCACAAAGAGGAAAAAGAGAAAAAAAAACCACATTGAAAATTCTGGATCAGCCAAGGCTGAATCGAAGAGTACGTGTATTGGCAGCTTCACCAGATATTCTATGGAGACGCGGGCCGTTCCGTAATTGGATCTGGATATTATGCAGACCGCCCGGGATATGGAGCAATTTAAGAAAGGCAATCACCGAACGACGGAAAACCGGGCAATTCGTCCTGTCCTTGCCTCCTGCATACAAGTCAGTGTCAGAACTAAGCTGTCGTCCCTCGCGGTGCATTGTCGGTCGATGACAGCTTCGCGACTCCCAGATTCAGAGGGAGGAGACCAAGGAGGAGACAGGGATGCAGAGAGAGGGAAAACATGTTTCGTCGGCAAGGACATACCGTCGGGGGGACTCGAACCCCTGGCTTCCTCGGATGGTGAAGGAGTCACTTTCGAGGATTTCCATTCCACTGGTCGACGACGGCTTGTTACCCGATGGACACCGTGAGTGAATTTGGAGTTCATTTGACGCGCGGGAGCGGAATGTGCGAGGTAGACGGACGGCCGGGAGGAGAGAAGAAAAGAGGCGACGTGCCCGGACGGCGGTGTGCATGGCGACGCAGCACGCGAGAGAGTCTAAGGGCGCGGAGAGCGGAGCCGGTCGAGGGGCGGGGCGGGATAGTACGCGGAACAAGTGTGGAACGCACGCCCCGCGAAGTGACGTGCACGACGGGCGGAAGGGGTGCCGCGGCGAGCGCAGTCCTAAGCGCCACATGCAGGAAGCAGGCGCACAGCGAAAGCGTGCGGCGACCCGAGAGGAGCGATGCGAGAGCGTAGCAGTAAAACGTGCGGAACGGGTACTGCGCGAACTAGCGTGCACGCCGGGACCTGGGTTTTCCGCGAGCACGGCAGGAATACACGCCGCGTCGGCGTGTGCCGGAGGGAAGTTCTACGAGAGAGAGCACGAGCACGCCGGGGGCGCCGGCGGATAATAAAAGGGGCGAAGAGTGCAAATTTACTCGTATATGGCCAATGGTGCATGAACATATATAGCTTTCTGGGACGCAGCTAGTGGGGCTTGCACACCCGAATGAAATGTACCCGCGATGGACCGCGACGAGTGAGGGCGCAGACATGATGCGTAAAGGCCTCCAGCGTCCATCGTCGCCCAAGTGGCAAGAGTAGCCGCACGACCGCGTGACTCCACTCGACTCCCAGTCGCCGAAGGCGAGCGCCGCCACGGGAACACGCAGCGAAGGAGATCTTGCGCGTTGGATATGCTGGCTTTAGGAACAAGGCTCCGGGACGCGCAGGACGGGCGGCGCGACGAGACAGCAGACGAGGTGGTGGTCGGGAGCAGGCATCGGCTTGATCCGGACACTTTCCACGTGCGTGATGCTGGCTGATGTGTTAGGATTGGATTTATTCGATTTAAACAATTACGGCGTGTACTTATGCGCGGCATGTCTGTCCGCGGACCGGAGAGAAGGCAGTGCAAACCTCGTGCTCTGGAATAAGGACCTGCGACAACGGCGCGATGGGAAAATGTTCATTGGCTGCATCCCGGTTGTTTGCCCTGCGACTCGGAAGGAACGACATTAGCAGGCGTATGGCGTCACGAAGCAGGCAGAAGCCATTTGTGACGCGCATCATATCAGTGCAGGCAAAGAAAACACGACAGCAAGAGGGATTACCCACAGTCCAAGCCCGAATTGAGCGGACAATTCCTGCACGGAATTTCTCGAACTGTAAGACGAGCAGGTGCGGTCCACTCCATGATTGGACCTTGCTACTCTGTAAATGAACCTGGATACCTTCCTAGTTTCTGGCAGTCAGTCAAGGCGATGCCTACTTATTGCTGGGTGCCATATTCAGCGAGATTATTACTCCGACCACTTTATAAACAGCCCATCTCACAAAGGCTGGCTAGAACGCAGCCGGCGGCGCGAGGCGTATTCGAACGGGGGAATAAAGCCGAATTCTCAGAGGCGAAGATTATCGGGATGTAGAGTCAAAAAGAGCGCCAAACGCGAGCAGCGGTCCAAGCCCGAATCGAACGGGCGTCGCCTGCAGGTAGTGTGATTGCTGCCGACTCATACGTTGCAGGTGCGGGCCTCTCCGCCATTGAACCTGCATCCTCTGCAGCAGAACCTCATTGATATTGGCGGAGAAATTTCAAGGGCGGCAGGGGTGCGACGAAGTGATTGACCAAACTCGATATTTGGCGCGCAGACTGCAATCTCAACGCCCCAAAGGTGAAGTGTCCGTCGGCAAACGGATGTTCAAGAGTGGGGCTCAGGGAACCTAAAGGAGGAGTGAGATTGACTGCCCCGTGAGCTGAAAAGCAGGAATAAAAACATTTCATAAACCGTGCCTGATGGTCCAAGCCCGAATCGAACGGGCGTCGCCTCCAGGTATATATTCGTTTGTACAGACCCAGGTGATGCAGGTGCGACCTCTCCGCAATTGGACCTCCCCAATCCTAGTTAGAGCGCGAACAGGTGGACAACTTTGAAGATGGACGCACTGGCACACTTAACTTGATTATTTCATTCGGTGGGTGCGATAAGTATGCTCGCAACTTTCCGGGGGAAAGACATTTGGCGGGGAATGTTGCTAGATGGGCAATGACCAACGCAAGGTCGGCGAACAGATCTTGATTATTAGCATATAGCAGAGGCAAGATTGAAGAATCCTAAGACTGATCTACTGCAGCGAGCATGGGCGCAATGATCGTAGTAGCCCGCGGAGATCAGTGCAATGTCTTGTGACTGTGGAGTAACGTGTTGGCCAAGCTCTCCTCTTCTTCGACCGCGTCGCTCCACCAGGACTCTAGCTGTCTGTCACAAACAGCAGCCGTCGTCTCTGTATTCTCGTTCCCTGGCTGAGACCACAAAAAAATACACGTGAATTCCGAGGAAAAAGGCCGTGAAACCGTATAAGTCACTTACTGTGGGACGCGATGCACGTTCGACGCCTCAGTAACTGGACCTGGGTATCATGCAGATGATCGTCGGTTTATGGATGAATTTAAGGAGGCCATACCAAACACACCTGGCGCCGGAAGCTCCATCCAGAGAATCAATATCCGGTGGTCGACGACAGCTTCACGAGAGTCGCGAGACTCAAGTAGAAGCGAAAGACACACTCATTCGCCAGCGACTCGATATTGACTTTCCTCTTTGTGCACGGTTTCAATCGTGCCCTCAACTTGGATCTGACGGTCGCGCCGATTTAAGTCAGAGACGGATACACTGGGAGGGAAAATATATCCACTGCACACCTAAACAGCCGCCGAGAGGACTCGAACCCCCGTCTTCCCCAGATGGAGAAAGCGTCAGCACCCACATTTCGAGGATGACCTGTCCGCTGGTCTACAACGGCTCCGTGCACTGAACGACGACGGATTCATGGTCAATAGAAGGAGCGAAAAGGTAGATTTATTCAATACTTTATAAGCCGCCGAGGGGAATCTAATCCCCGTCTTGTTCGCTCGGATGGACAGCAAGCTGGGCCGACATCCAACGTGTGGATGCACCGCGCCGCTGCGCGCAGGGAGGGCGTGCGACAATCCAAGATTCGAGCCGTGGCGCGAGATCGTCCGCGGCGCAAATGAGGAACGCACGCAGCTGCTAAGTGACGTGCATGGCGGCGAGTACAATCCTGACCTAACAGCTAGACTATATATAGCCACGGCGTTTAACAGCGCGGCTATCAACTCGCTAGACGCAGTGTTTGGCGCCAATGCGTTACGTAATTCACTTTTCCCATGAATGTCAAGAACAGCTACAGCACCTTCGCCAAAGGCGGATAGCAGTTGGGCTGTGCCGACATAAAATCCGGTGCATCGCGAGACCTCCGGTCCCTTCCCACATTGCTCTCTGCCACTTACCATGTACCACCCTTTAACTCGCCAACCCACCCGCGATAGCCTGCGTAGTTGGTGGTCAGACAGGAACCCACTCGGTCCAAACATAGACCTCCATGCAGCGGCGAAGCCGTTGATGCGGTTCCTGTACCGGCGCGACGTATTGGCCTTCATCGCAAAAACCCGCGGTAGTCCGCTCTCGCGCGAAGACATGGAGATTTATTCCAGCTATCTTGCGTATGACGTTTCATTATTCCTTTGCCAAATATTTTCATTCACTGAGCGCCAGTTATAAATATATATCTTCGTCCACCAAGGCCGCCATTCTGATTGAGCTCCAGGCAAGAGTCGAAGATGACAGTGACGCGGATGCCGTCGGGGATTCACTGGTATTACATCTTGCCGACGAATTACTTAGTTCGCCCGATGCGGAGATTCGCCGACCGACGTGCAGGATTTTGGCCATTTTAGCACGCCGCGAAACAACAGCACCGGCCATCTTGTCTAGGAATCTCTGCCCCCGGCTCGTATCTCTCTTACAGTGAGTCTCTCGGATGATTTTCTCTAGACCAGGTAGTGATTATTGACGTTCAAACCAGCGACACTGATGTCGAGGTAATCAAGAATGCGGTACAAGGACTGCGCTCGCTATCCAACTGGCCTGACGGCGCGCAGGCTGCCGTGGACGCAAATGTGTTGCACTCTTTGGCCGAGCTGCCTGACTCCCCGAATGGGGAGATCCGGGCCTCAACATGTGACATGCTGGAGGAGCTCGCTCGTCTACCCGCCACATCCACAGCCGTGTTGCACTCCTTGGCCGAGCTGCTTGATTCCCCGAGTGACAAGATCCTGGACTGGACATGTGACATGCTGGAGAAGCTCGCCCGTCTACCCGCCACATCCACTGCCGTCTTGGAATTGCTCGTATTGCTCTCGTTGTCTGTGCCAATTTAGGGTTTTCGACATGTGTTGACTTTGAACTTAGTCATGACAATTCTTATGTCGTGGACGGCGCAGTGAAGCTACTAAATCAGATTGCCACCTTTCCTGACGGTGCGCGGGCGATCGTGGATGCCAATTTTCTAGAAAATGTGGCCCAATTGGTTGACTCCCCGCACAATGGAGTTTGGAAAGGGACCTGGGAACTTCTGGAACATTTGGCACGCGAAAGGCTGACGGCGAAGGCAGCAGTAGCACAGATGTTATCTCTATTGTGGTGAGCCTCAATTCCTCGCAACTGGCACGACCTGTGTATACTTCTTCAGGAGCGAGAATGACAGGGTTGCCGCGACCGCGGCACAGACATTGTATCACACAATCCGCTTCCGTGAAGGCGCGCAGACTGCGGTGGAGGCAGCTGTATTAGACTGTGTGCCTGCCCTGCTTCAATTGCCGAACCCTGGGGTGTGGAGATGGACGTGGGAGCTTCTCGAAGAGTTGGGTCATCGCGCAATCACAGAGAGGCTGGCTCTGAGGCAAGTGGTATCTCTCCTTCGGTGAGTGTCACGTTCCAACTGCTTGTGAACACCATGTATATTTTGCCTTAGGAGTGGGGATCCACCGATTTTCCAGAATGCGGCACGGATATTGTCTCACAAAATTAAATCATCCGAAGGCGCGCAGACCGTCGTGGAACTAAATTTGTTGGAGTGTCTACCTGAACTGGTGGAATCGCCAAACGCTGCAATCCGGGACTTGACGTGGGACATCTTGCTGCACCTCACGCAGCACGAGACCACAGCACCAGCGGCTCTAGAATTGCTGGTATCATTTTTGCGGTAGGTCTAATCATGCTGTTCCTATACAAATCGTTAATGCTGTATCCAGGCACGACAACACTGACGTTGTCGTTTCCGGCGCGGTGGAAATCCTGTCTCACATTGCAACATCGCCCGAGGGTGCTCAGGCCGCCGTCAACGCTGGTGTATTAACATCTGTGATACAATTGCTGGAATCCTCCGTCACAGGACTAAAGGTCTGGACATGTGAGTTACTGGCCAAACTTGGACTGCACACGTCTACGAGGGACGCCGGCTGGCAGGCAAAGCCCTGCCAGGCACTGATATCCCTCTTTCGGTGAGCAATATTTATATCTCCCAGAAAACAGCTTCATTTGAGTCCAGTGACGAAAAGCAGATCGTGGTGGATAGGGCGGTCAAGGCACTGGCCATACTCACCAGATCCAACGAGGGAGCGCAGGCTGCCGTTGACGCAAAAGTTCTCGATTGCATGGACGAACTTCTCGCATCTTCGGATCCACAGATCTGTAGACGGGCTTGTCAGATCATAGAAGCGCTGGCAAACCAAGGAATGACTGCACCGGCTGTGCTGGAAGTAAACCCCTGCATACGATTAACAGCGCTCCTAAGGTGAGTCCTTGCTTGTTAGATAATGGAGTGTTTATGTTTCATCGCGCAGGCACCCCGATCTCACAGTCTGTAAAAGTGCAATGGCCGCACTCGCCCAAATTTACGAAGTCCCCGGCGGCCTTGCGGCTATTGCGGCCTCAGATTGCTTGGCGGTTGTCGGGCACTTAATGCAGGAAGTTCCGGAGTTGGCCGGACCGGAAAAGCGACCGCTGTGGCAGCCCCCGGCATATTTCGAAGTTTAAAGATTGCTAACTCCCGTATAGGGCAGGTACTGGCTGACTATACGGTGTTTATGTCTGTGCTCAGTACATGGTCCCGGTCCTCGTTAAAATGCCAATCTATTAATGTCAGAATTCAGACCACGATATCTAAAGATTACTTATGTTAAACTGCTCACCTCTATTCATTTTGCCAAAGATCAGATGCGTGGCCTTTTCAATGCAAGTGACGAATATAAAGAACAGCTTCATCAAATGCAATTCTCTATTGTACTGCAAGGGTATGCCCCAGAGGTTCCGCACGCCGCAATGTAAGAGGGACATCAATCAATTATCTCAAGGAAAAATCACGATAGGAAGTGTTCCAGCTGGGCTTCGGGGAGGAAACGTGTTAAACTACAGCATTGGGATTTCACAGCCAATTTATTTGAGGAGAAGCACAATGATTATGCGCTCAAAACGACACGACGCGATCATCACGTGGTCGTCCCAGGTGGAAACTCCGACGTGACCATCACCGGCATCAGCGGCCGATCATCCACGACGCCGGTGCCGCCGGGTCTCGGCGCAATTTCCGACTGGACTCACTTGATGCGGTTGGAAGATAAAGTCCCGTTAAAGATGCTCGCCAGCATTTAATTTGAAAAACCATGTCTTTCTTGCTCGCGACCAACCTTCACATTGGGTAATCTAAGGGAGAACAGGTAGCTAATGGACCCGCGGAGCGATGTCAATTTCAGAGCGTGAGGCGGCTAGAGAGCTGAGACGTGGGGCGAGGTCGCGCGCGCCGCAGGCTGCCAGAGTTATTTGGGACGGAGCCGAATTCAAGGAAGTAAGATAGTTGTCATTCGAACCCAGAAGCAACAAAGACCTGGGAATCCACATGGTCCAAGCCCGAATCAAACGGGCGTGTCCTGCACAGACTTCCTCGGGATGCAATCTTGCGCAGGTGTGGGCCACTCCGCAATTAGACACTGTTTTGTGGAACCATGAACGATGTGTAAATTCATCGGTCGGAATGCAGTATGAGGCACATGATGCAGGTAAGGTTTACCCCGCAACTGGACCCGAAAAATGGGCCGGAGAGATTGGAGGGGAGGCTGCAGTTCAGGAGACGACCCCCGTGAATGGATACAGTTCGTAGCGTGATGCGGCGACGGGCAAACACAGCTGTCGATAGATCTGGATTTCAACGTTAAATGAGGTATTGACGGGGAAAATCTGCTGCAAAAAAAAAACCGAGCGTCAGTCGATGGCGGCGGCCACGGAAAATACGCACAGTGGGAACACCTGTTTGAATACCAGCAGCGCCCCAGCCCGAGTCGAACAGGATCTGTATGGCAGGATGCATGTGCGGGCCGCTCCGCGATTACACCGTGCATACCTCCAATCCCCGTCTTCCTCGGTGGTACTCGCGGGTGGTCGACGAGAGCTTCGGCACTCCGCCGATTGAGGTGGAGTAGAAAGTGATACCGAAGTGACGCCAAAAAGAGAGAGAGAAAAGACTCCACGGATAATGGATAATGCCGCCGAGGGGAATCGAACCCCTGGCTCCCTCGGATGTCGAACAGGTGGGATTCAGATACAACTTGCGAGGATGACCTTCCACTGGTCGACGACGGCTTATTCTCGTATGGGCACCGTAAGTGACGCTGGAGTTGGTTTGACGCGCGGCAGGGGAATGTGGGGCCCTTGTGCAGTGCCCTGGGAGACATAATCGCCCGATTTGGACATGGCTCATGTCTAAATTAGGCATGACTGGCGCCAGCTCATCTCCCTCCTCCTTCGTCCCTACGTCGAGTTTGAAGCCACAAAACCCTAGTTTTAAAGCTAGCATACCAGCGGGCCCACCCTTGGATGTCCACCCCCCGCACCTGTGTCCGCAACAACCTGCAATTAATCCCGAATCTCGGTGCTTCGCCCGAGCGCTTTCCCTGCTCGACTCTCTTGTTTCATCCCTAGCAAAGACACCGGGACGCGAACCCAGAGCGTGCAGAAGTATCCCACTCACATTATAACACCCACCGGCGTCGCACGGATGACAGGCCTGCGCGTGGTCGTGCACATCCGCCGATCCGCGTGTGTCGGCCCTTCGTCCGCCCTTTTGCTCTCATTTTGAGCCTTTCTAGCGCGAAATATGTGCCGATGGTCTCTCTACGCGTCGTGTACGGCCGAATGTGCCCTACCCCGTGCCCTAGCTTACCGCTAACTATCAACACCTTGCTCGAGAAGAACACTTTCCCGAGCCCCATGCCCATTCACGACCAAGTGCAGCGTGATCGCGGACCCGCCCGTGGGATACACCGGCCTGCGCCGTAGCACGCACGCCATTCGCGCCGTTGCCGTGCCGCTGCACGAGCGAGTGGACGTGAACTCACTCGCTGAGAACACCTCGTTGCCAGTGTGTGTCGGGCGCGATGACAGGCGCGCGCCATGTCCTCGTTGTCATCCGACTTCGTGTCAAGCTCGATGCTGTCACACCATCTGGAACTGCCTTCTTGAGCCGGTGCTATGACGTTGTTACATCGAACGATGCAGCAGGTGCGTGGCCGATACACGAGTACGGGCGCACGCTAATTTCGTCCCGTGTAGAGAGACTTCGCCAGCATTTTCGCCTGCAACGTCGCTCCTGCCACCCGTGTTTGCATTCCGAAGGCGGGGGAGCAATCGGGCCTAAACGGTCAATTTATGTAAATGGCCGGTGAGCAAATATAAATCACTCCAAGCATGGGGCGGGCTCCAGACTTACCCAGATAATTCACAGTGAGAAATAGACCTTCTCAGGTCCCTTTGTGCCGTGCAAAAGCAGCCAAAGATGTGTACCATACTGTTAGAATAAAAATGTCCGCGCCCACCGCGATTACTTACAATACTACCAAATCTTCGTGCAAACAGAGTTGTTGAGGGACGCTTGCAGTGCCTCCAGAAAAATTAAACCAGCTATTTAGAGTGAGAACACCCTCCTAAGTTTTATTTATCAAGGGCGAGCAAGACTTCGGGCCAAGCTGGGTGAAGAGAAACAAAAAAAAAACCAGCAAGAGGGTTCGAACACAGAAACACTTACTGATGGAATTTTTGAAGACACATGCAGACTTCTAATAGCGCGGAGGGTCCTTTCGGTAGATCCGCCCTAGAGGCACCTCATCCGGCCTACGGCCGAATATTTGAAAAAACTTTTTTTCAAATATTTCCCAGGACATAGCACCAGGGCCGAATGTGGGAGGTAGATGGACGGACGGAGGAAGGAGAGCACAAAGGAGAGAAGACCCGGCGCGGCCGGCATGCAGGGCGCAGCCCCGGGATAGCACACGGCGACCCGACAGTCAAGGCGCTGGGCAGGAGAGTACGCGGAGCGAAGTGGCGTGCCCGGCGGGCGGAAGGAGAGCTGCGCCGCGCGCAGAGGAAGCAGGCGCGTGGCGACCCGAGAGGAGAGAGGTGAGAGCGAGATTCTATGCGGGGCCTAAGCGGAGCTACAGCGAGCGCGGCAGGGATATACACCGCGTCGACATGAGCCGCGACGGGCAGTTCAGGGAACGCAAGAAGACGGACAGTGCACAATGGCTGAGACGCAGCCGTGCGCATGAACCCTGTTCCTGGGACGCCGGCTCGTGAGGTTGGTACACTATGGAATACAGAGGGACGCACCCACGAACGAGCGTCCAGCATCCAACATCCAACAACCCATCGACCGCGATGAGGGATGTGATGTGTATAGGCGTGACGGTCGCCGAGCGCCAGCGTTCATCTCCGTGCGTCCTCGCGAAGTGGTCGCGCTTTCCTTCAGGGAACCGCCGCGGGTGCGTTACCGGCGAACAGCGCTCTGGAGTCTGGAGCATAGGGGTATTAGGAGCTCGGATGCGCAGGATGGCAGGACAGGCGGTGAGAAGAGACGGCAGATGAGATAAGTCTCACCTTGAAGTGCGGTGGATGACGCTGGGGCGATGTGTCAGATTTTATTCGACGCGTACACTGCAAGTAGAATCTAGAGCCCAGCTAGCTGACCGTACAAAAGGTGGAATGTTTAAGAGCAACCTACAGGCGGAGTGAGATTGGCTGCCGCATGATCTGAACAGCAGGAATAAAAAGCTTTTATCACCCGGACCAAATGGTCCAAGCCCGAATCGAACGGGCGTCGCCTGCAGGTATATGTACGTCTGTGCAAACCCATCTGATACAGGTGCGGCCTCTCCGCAATTGGACCTTGATAGCGTGCAATTGAGCGTGAGTAAGTGGTCAACTTTACTCGGGAGAAAGAGACCGCGATATCTGCTTGAATCACGAGGACCTACGCTAATTTTAACAGTCGAGAGTGGACGCACACGAATCCCACTCACGCCTGGAAACTCGATGGGGGCACTCGGCAAAGAAAAACAGCACTGAAGCAGGGCATTGGAAGGTACGTATCCTGCCAACGAGTTCGGTGATCCCCTAGATATACGGCAGCAATTGGACTTGACCATCCTGCAGTGAGACGCGAATAGATGACCAATTTATACAGCGGACCAACTTGCCTGCGCTGCTAACTCCAATGGAATTTGGACCGATGGGCGGTGGGCCGACGGATCCGAGGGACCTTGGCTGCTGCCGACCTCAAAAGCGAGTTGAAAGCCAGGTAATAAAAAAAGATCGGCAAGTCCCATCTGACGGTCCAAGCCCGAGTCGAACGGGCGTCGCCTGCATGCCCAGTAGTGCTTCTGCAATAGGGGTGCAGGTGCGGACCGCTCCGCCCTCGGACCTTAGGACTGCTGAGTAGAGCCTGAATAGGTGGATAACTTTCAAGAGGGACGTGGACACGTACTTGGCTTGATTATTTCATTCACTGACTGCGATATGCTCGGAACTTTCCGGGGGCAAGGCATTGGCGGGAATGTGCTAGATGGGTCGATGACCAATGCAAGATGGGCGAGCACATCGGGATTATTGGCGGATAGCACAGAGATTGAAGAATGCTAAGACTCTTACCGGGGCGAGCATGAAAAATACACGCAAATTCCGACGAGGAAAAAGTGTATGAAGCGCTTGAATGGCCCAAGCCCGAGTCGAACGGGATTTATACTTAACTGCGGTGGGACGCGATGCAAGTACGACCTCTCAGTAATTGGACCTGGGGAGTAAGCAGATGACCGTCGATTTATGAGTGAATTTAAGGAGATGCATTACCAAACACACCTGGTGCCGGAAATTCCATGCGGAGAATTAATATCCAGTGAGGGACGACAGCTTCGCAAGAGTCCCGGAATTCAAGTCGAAGCGAAAGATACCCTGAAAGCAAAGATAAATACACGGGAGCACAGGGAATACCATCGGGGATAATCGAACCCCCGGCTTCCTCGGATCCAATGCATAAGTAGCGGACTAGACCAGATTCGCGGGCTACTCGACGACGGCTTGTTATCTCATGGATCCTTTGAGTGATGTTGGTTTGATGCGCGGCAGCGGGCTGTTACGAGAGAGGAGACACAGGATTCAACGGATCTGACGTGCGCATGCACGGCGCGGGGTGGAGACGCCCGGGACAAAATAGTATGTGTCTCAGATGCTGAACGTGCGCGGCGGAGCCGCGGAGAGCGCTCGTGGCGGCGATACATTTCTAATAAGCAGGGCTCGCAGCACATTGGATCCAACACGGAAGAGGCGCAAGGTGGAAGTGCAGGGGACACCAGGAGGGCGGAGAGTGTATATCGGCTCCGATGCGGCGCCGCGGTGCTTGAAGGCCAAACCTTCCTGGGTTCTGGATAAAGAACGAAGCACGCTCCACGGACGAGCATCCAGAAAGAGGCTCGGGGGGAACTGGACGCGCCTGTCGACGCCGCTGCCCTGCGTCACACCGTGCGCTCGAATGGGAATGATGCGTCCCGCAGCGCCACGATGTCGCGCACCCCGCGCTGCGCGGCACGCCTCCTTGACGATACGGAAAGCCTGCTGACTGTCTGCGGGTCGACGATGGGTTCGTCCACCGCATTCAGGAGTAGAGAGCGGCGCAGAATGGACCAAAAAAAACAAAAACACGGTCGCTGCATCATACCGTCGAGGGGAATCGAACCCGCCTTCTCGGAAGTGAATGCGCGTCACATGGCGAGGATGACCTTCCACTGGTCGACGACGGCTTGTTACCCTATAGATGCCTTTAGTGAAGGCGGTCATTACGGGATGCATCGACAGGGAAGGCGTGACACAGACGAAACACAAGACTCTACATGCCCACCGATTGTGGCACCGAAAACAAGGTCAGAGGCGGGCATGCACGGCGCCGCAGCGAGCGTGGAGAGCACGCGGCGAGCTGAGAGGTCGAGCGTGGGGCGAGATAGCGGCGTAGGTGCCAAACCCACGCAGCGCGAAGTGAACAAATAGGAGATGGGGACTGAGGAGCCGAGAGCATGGAAGAGATTCAAAAACGGCGCACCCAGGAGGCGCGAGAGGAGAGAGCACCCACAAGCAGGGGGTGCCGGGACCAAGGAGGCAAACCAGGGACGGCCGCTGGCAGGGTTAGCGCACTCAACGGAATACAGAACGAAATCCGCATCCACATCACCAAAAGCGGAAAGACCTTCTAAGGGCCTCGAAAGCCCCTTGGAAGGTGCCCAAGGCCTCACAAGGCCGTCCAAGGCCTGTGCACCCCTCCC